TGAAACCCTTGACAACTTCAATCTTTTCTCCATTGATCATGATGTTGCTTACTGGTCCAGTTGTGAGGATTTTTGTTTCCTTTATGTTGGGGTGTAATCCATACTGAAGGCTGTGGTCTTTGATCTTCATCAGTAAGTGCTTCAAGTCCTCTTCACTTTCAGCAAGCAAGGTTGTGTCATCTTCATATTGCAGGTTGTTAATGAGTCTTCCTCCAAACCTATGCTGCGTTCTTCATATAGTCCAGCTTCTCGGATTATTTGCTCAGCATGCAGACTGAATAAGTATGGTGAAAGGATTCAACCCTGATGGACACCTTTCTTAACTTTAAACCATGCCATATGCCCTTGTTCTGTTTGAACTGCTGCTTCTTGGTCTAAGTACAGGCTACTCATGAGCACAATTAAGTGTTCTGGAATTCTCCTTCTTCACGATGTTATCCATAATTTGTTATGATCCACACAGCTGAATGCCATTGGACAGTCAGTAATACACAGATAAACATCTTTCTGGTATTCTCTGCTTTCAGCCAGGATCCATCTGACATCACCAATCCCTCCTTCTATGTCCTCTTCTGAAGCCAGCTTGAATTTCTGGCAGCTTCCTGTCGATGTACTGCTGCAACCATTTTTGAATTATCTTCAGCAAAATTTTACATGTGTGTGATATTAATGATATTGTTCGATAAATTCCCGATTCTGCTGGATCACCTTTCTTTGGAATGGGCACAAATACGGATCTCTTCCAGTTGATCGGCCAAGTAGCTGTCTTCCAAATTTCTTGGCATAGACAAGTGAGTGCTTCTAGTGCATCCATTTGTTGAAACATCTTAATTGATATTCCATCAATTTCTGGAGTCTCGTTTTTTGTCAATGGCTTCAGTGCAGCTTGGACTTCTTCCTTCAATATCATCATTGGTTCTTGATCATAGGCTACCTCCTAAAATGGCTGAACACTGACCAATTCTTTTTGGTACAGTGATTCTGTGTATTCCTTAGTTATCTAGTGCTGCTATAACAGAAATTCTACAAGTGGCTGGCTTTAACAAACAGAAATTTATTTTTCTTGCAGTTTAGGAAGCTAGAAGTCTGAATTTAGGGTGCCAGCTCTAGGGGAAGGCTTTCCCTCTCTGTTGGCTCTGGTGGAAGGTCCTTGTCTCTTCAGCTTGTTTCCTGGTTCCTTGGAGATCTCCATGTGGCTTGGCATCAATCTTCCCCCATCTCTGCTCCCTAGCTTGCTTGTTTAACCTCTTTTATATCTCAAGAGATTGACTCAAGACACATCCTACTCTTATCTTGCCTCATTAACATGACAAAGACAACCCATTCCCAAAGGGGATTGTAACCACAAGCATAGAAGTTATGATTGACAACATATATTTTGGGGGGACTTAATTCATTCCATAGCCCTACATTTAAGGTGGACAGGGATGGAGGACAAGCACTAAACTTATAGACCGTCAGCCCTGTATTGTCCATGTTTATGTGGATTATGTGTTGAGGCAGGTATGATGTGACCATTAGGACTGACATGACAAAGAATGTGGACTTTAGGGGGATCAAATATAGCCATTATAGAGAAGAACTGTTTTCTTTACTAAAAAATGAAGGGTTGGGCCACATGGCATACACAGACATGGAGCTATAAAACTGGAAATTTCTCTAGGCCTTTTTCATCAACTGTAGGACTATGGTACCAAAACTTTGCATACAGAAACTACCTGGATACGGAAAACAATGGACTTACATTGAGTGTTGAAAGAGGTTCATACGTAACGTCATTTACAGGAGTTATTTTTTTGGTGAGTTCTAGTGGACATTGAAGGTATTTGAAATTATACTCGATCTGTAGAAGATATAAATGCTTTAAAAGTTATATTTAGTCTAGTATAGACACTGAAAGTTGTTCTTGGAAAATCAAACACATCAAGCCTACAATTCTGTTGAAAATTAGGTGATTCAAATAAAGTTTAGTAATTTCATCTGGAGAAAAGTTAATTAACTTATTGCATATTTTAGTTCAAAAAAAATCCTGAAAGGCTATTATTTCATTGTTTTAGAGCTCATAGCCATGGAAAAAGATGAACTCTCAAAATATCACTTAGATATTTTAGAATTTCATTCTTCAGATGAAACAACCCAAGAAAATGTAAAAACCAAAAAATCGGTTGCCATTGAGTGGATTCTAACTCATAGTGACCCTATAGATCAGAGTAGAACTGCTCCATAGGGTTTCTAAGAGGTGGCTGGTGGATTCAAATTGCTGACCTTTTGGTTAGCAGCTGAGCTCTTAACCATTGTGCCACTAGGGCTCCCTAAGAAAATAGAAAGATTAAAAACAGCCCTGAATAATACTATAAATATTGAGAGCAATTAAAATACTGGCGAAAACTGAAGATCAACATTCCCTCAGAAGTAGATGATATAATAATACAGCCAATGAAACCAGGAATTACCATCTTTTGAGACTGAGAAACTATAGTAATACTATTTTTTTAATTCTTCAAAGAACTATGATAAAATAAACTTCAAATTATTACGATAAAATAAACTTACATGATAGTCTTGGCACGACTTGTCCCCTGTGGAGTGTAACATGCAGACATCCAGAAGTACCTTTGGGAGAGCAAAAATCAGTTGAACTACTGGGGCAAGAGAGTAAATATGACACAGGATTTTATCCTATTTCTAAAATAGCATACAAAATATCCCCCTTCCTTTATATCTTTCAGCTCAAGGATAAATTATAGCCATGCAGCGCAGGAACAAGGTTTAAAATAAAAAGTGTTACAACTAGCACTGCATGCCACAGAAATGCCAAGTGATTCAGAAAAACACCACGAGCTTGAGAAGAAAACTGTATTTACTAAAATTTGGGTAACAGATTATTTTTGTCTCAGATTTGATGTATTTTAGGGCTTCTAGAGAATATGGCTATTAAGGATTCCTTTGCTTACCATCTTGAAGTGACAACTTCTTGTCTCTAATCAAGACTTTTCAGCTTAGCACTGAGTTCTTCCTGTGGGCTAAGTCCCATCTTCTGAATTGCTTGGACCTGGAGTACTGTGTTTGCTTCTGCACCACACTTGCAAACCAACAATGACAAAGCATGTATCCAGAGGGGTGTGGACAAGATGGTGGGAAGAGATGTAGAAGGTCTTCTGGATTCATAACTCCGGAAGGGAACACTTACAGGACCATTAGGGCCATCCCTAAGGTATGTGGGGCCTTGGGCAAATATTTTAATGGAGACCCTATCTACGCAAACAATTTGAGAAAGAAATACCACACTGGCCGTATGGCCCTCCTAGAACTGGACACAAGGCCCCAAACAACCACGTCAATGCTTCTCGGAGCTCCTGGAACATCAGGGGACCCCACTTCCAGGATGAAAGGGTAGACGGTTGGACAGTACTCTGAAGGGGAGAAATGGGGACCGGCCCCATATGGCGGGCAGTGAGGCCCTGGTCCAGTTCCAGGCACTGAGGTAGGACCTCAGAAAATTTTGCGGAAGCCTGTGCTGGCGACTGGGCCAGCAGTATTGATGGCATTAATAGGTATCATCAAATATTTGAAGGATATTACAGAAAATAAAGACTAGGCTAGTCAGTGGTGCTTTGCAAGGCAGAACCAAAGAGGCAAGTGTAATTTTATAGTTTGAGAACTTCATCATAATCAGCACAGGTACAAATAAAGAACAGGTTGCCTCAGGGTGTTTTACAAAAGCAACTGAATGACTTATTTTCAGAAATGTTGTATAAGTAACTGAAATTCAAGTGATGTGAGCCTACACTAAAAGTTCTTTAAGTTGCCACATTTTACTGAAACAATATTCACAATATTAAAGTAATACAAATCACTATAGAAACCTAACTAGAAAATATATAGTAGTATAAAAAAGAAATGGAGCCCTGGTGGCACAGTGGTTAAGCATTCAGCTGCTAACCAAAAGGTCGGCAGTTCGAATCCACCAGCTGCTCCTTGGAAACCCTATGGGGCAGTTCTACTCTGTCCTTTAGGGTCCCTATGAGTCGGAATCGACTTGATGGCAACGCGTTATAATGAAGACAAGAAAATCAATCATAATCCCACAACTGAGATAACTCTTGTTAACATTTTGGTATAATTTTTTCAAGTCTTTTCGATGTTCTTCACATGTGAATATTTTAACATTTTTTTTCTATTATAAATAATGTTGCAGGGAACAGTATCATATATAACTCTGCTTGTATGTCTGATTATTCATTAGGACGGATTCCTACAACTGGAATTCCTGAGTAAGTGAGTCTGAGAGCATTTTCAGCTCTGAATATTCATGTGCCTTTGAGGAAATATATACACCTGGAAAGCTACCTGCAGGCTGTCTCTGCGCTGGACTGGACCCAATTTCCACTAGACATCATAAAGGAAAAAAACGCGCATAAAACACTTAGCGTATATTGAAGGAATAAAAACAATAGGTGCCAGTAGTAGCAGTCTCAGGAGTAGTAGTAGTGGTAGTGATCATAGACCTGTTGCCGTTGAGTCCATTTTGACTCATAGAAGCAGCATCAAAACAGTCAGCGGTATGATACGTGCCAACCACTATCCTGAACACTGTATATATTTTACCTCTAATCTTTGTGATCACTTTGCAAGAGCGGTATCAGCGTCGCTGCTTTAGAGGTAAAGAAAATAGAAAGGGAAGCTCAGAGAGGTGCAGCGTCTCAAATAAAGCAGCCCAGCAAGAGGCAGAGCAGGATTAAATCCCAGGGCTGGTAGGCTCCAAATGTGGGGTGCTCTAATCTCTTTCTGAACATATGTCTCCCCTTGAATGTCCAGTCATCCCCTCTTCTTGGTCATTCTATGTCTGTCACAATCCTCAAATCTCAGCTTTCCCAGAGGGTCTTTTATCTGCATGCCTTTAGCCCTCGTGTGCTCAGCAGTGTGTGCATGTTTGCCTTGTAGGAGGCAGCCGGTCATGTGTATGTTTATCCTAGCGCAGAGGATCACGTGTTCACACACCTACAGACGCGGGGCAGGTAATATAAATGAATAAACCATGCCAAGTGTAAGAACTCCTTCCTATTGTCCTTGAAACGTTGACTCTCCTTGGGCTGGCTTTTATCTTCACTGTTTTGTTAGAGGCAACTACAAAGAAATATCTCTCTACTACAAGAAAAAAATTGCACCAGGATGACAATACGTGGCAACTAACACTAAGCCTTAGAGCTGGGTATACAAAAGGCAGAGGTAGGGTGTGGTTAGGAGAGAGTGCTCGCTCATCTTCAGGAAGCAGCTGCTTCTCAGATCCCTGACTTGTGAGAAGGCAGACCCAGTCACTAGATCTTCTGACTTTTACAGGAAGCCAGATGTCTGGATCCTAAGATAAGTGTCCTAGTTGTAAGTGTTAGCAACTAACACCAATTTGAAACAACAAGCATTTGAAGCAAAACATACCCAGAGGTTTTATTCACTGGTCTGTGATCTCTGCTCTAGTCTGGGATAGTCTGAATAGAAAATCCATTTCCTATATTTTCCTATATTCCCCATAGCCACTAGTGGGATTCTTTAAACCAAGTAGATCCTCAGTAAATACTTATTGGCTAACATCCCTTAAAGCCTATGGAAAACTAGAAACATTTATTTCAAGATGAAAATTTAGTTTGTGATTACATCAATAAGTCCTCACATTAGATTATATGCCAGGTATGTACCCAGAAAGGGTCTTGTGTGGAGAACTTACTTTCATGCATTCAGGGAGGTACTCCACCATTTCTATGATGGGACATTTATTACTTTGAGAATAATGACTAAATGTCTTAAGACATTCTTCCCATCTGTTAAAAAACAAACAAACACAAGTGTTAATGTGTTCTGCACAATGACAAAGCTACCAAATAAACCTCAAAATTGTATTTTCAGGAAAAATCTGCATTTTAGTTCATTCATAATGTAATGTTCACACACTGGTTCCAACCAAGATCGATCCCTAAATGGGATCCTTGTTCATTAGTGAACATGAGGAACACAGGCAAATGCCAGGATAGCTGTTATAATCACTGTTCTGTCTCTTTCCCTAAATGCCTTCCAGAGAGGGCAGGCTTTTGTCTTCTTTTCCTCCTGAAGTCACAAAATGGTACGTACTTTCAGAGCTGAATGTGTTGGGTAGAGATATCCACATTCACGTACATATGTCAGCAGCATTGTACTGTGTACATAATACTTAATATGTAATCAATGTACGCATCATGCATTGAATTAAATGACAAAATAACATGTGCCAAGTTCATTAATAAGCATGGACTCTGCCAGAACACTGAAGAATTTGCCCCTTCTTGTCATCCCTATCCAGTTGGATGGGATGAGAATGTGCCTACAATATTATGGAGGGGTTAAATCTGCACCTGGAAGGAAGAGCTTGTTTATCACCAAGATCCTGTCTATGTGATAGGAGACTGGTTCTAAAAACAGCCAGCCAAATTTTCCATTAACCCTGTCAGTAAAATCCACTACAATATCTGCATTATCACCAGAAAACTTCTGCTTGCACACTTGCATCAATTGATGTTTCAAAGTAATGATCAGCAGGGGTTTCTTGAAACTGCCCATGCTCAAAAATACAGTCCTGATACGCCTTGATTGTGAGGGTGTTCGTCTCTCTGGCTAGTATTGGGTGACACTGGGCCCTTGTGCATATCTGCCTGTGATTATATAGAAAAACTTGTGTATGAGAAGTGGGAAAAATCACCCTCCATCATTAAAACTCCTTACAGTATGGTTTAAAAACCAACAACCTCAAAAGATCATGTGTTACGGGAAATTTCATTAGATGGCGCCAACATCCACTTCTGGGGTTTCTGTTGGCATAAGCTGTTGTTGTTAAGTGCCGGCGAGTTGGTTCCGACTCATAGCAACCTGTGTACAACAGAACGAAACACTACCCGGTCCTGCGCCATCCTCACGATCATTGCTATGTTTGAGCCCACTGTTACAGCCACTGTGTCAATCCATCTCATTGAGGGCCTTCCTCTTTTTCACTGTCTACTTTACCAAGCATGATGTCCTTCTCCAAGACTGGTCCCTCTTGATAACACGTCCAAAGGATGTGAGACGAAGTCTCGCCATCCTTGCTTCTAAGGGACATTCTCGGTGTACTTCTTCCAAGACAGAGTATGGGGCAATTTCAGGTTGGGTGGGGCAGAATTTACTTAACAATGGCCATGGTGCCAGGCATTACAATAAATGAACTCCTGAGTCTCACAAAAGTGCTACCAAGGTAATATTTTCCTCTCACGTATTAGAAATGAAAATTGAAGATCAGAGAGGTTAAGCAACTTGTCTGTTGTCACCCAAAAAGTTACCTGAAACTAAAAGCTTTATGTAAACAAATGGCATTCTTAAATTTATGATAAATTTTTAAATTTATGATAAGAATGATTATTGGTTCTCTCTTTTATATCCTCTGAGGTAGTGAATCATCCTTCATGCCAGAGAATGTTCATGATACTGGACGATAAGGCAGGTACCTTCTGTTCCTGATGGTGGTAAGAACCACCTCCTTCCTTCTGTTGTGAATTGCAACATGCAAGAAGGAGGCATCCTGCTTGTTCAGGACGATTTCCGCATTGTAGCTCAGAAGAAGTGCAACGGCTTTGGCGTGGCCCTCCCCTGCAGCCAAGTGAAGCGCAGTGTTCTTTTAGAGAAAACACAACACAGAAAACGCAGTCACAGATGGCTGACCGTCACTCGGTTACTTTACTGCCTAGTTTCATTGTTGAATTGGTTAAAAGAAAGTATTAGCAAAACTAACGATTTAATGTCAGCATACACACAATTGGCAACTGGTGTTCAGAATCAGGATTCAAAATAATAAGCTTATAGTTCAAATACGGCGATGAGGGGGCGGGGGAGGGACATGTAGGTGTGAATTTCAATGTTCGGTTTTGCTTTGTTTTTGCAGTGGGATGAGTCTCAAGGACAAAGGACACACCTTTGGGGTAGGGATGCTAAAGTGAACACAGAGAGAAGACTCCTGGGAGATTTATCATCTAGTAGAGAAGCGGTTTCCAGATTTTAGGTTTCACAGTCTAGTACATTAAAAATTAATAAGCGATTGTCATTAGGTTGCCAATTTTTAGTTTTAGGACATAAGAACATTTAAAAAAAAGCAACTACACTCTTCTATCTCCATCATTTCATTAAAGAACATACATTCCAATAGTCTCCTAAAAAAGGACATAATAGCAGAATGAGGGACAGTTCTTCAAATCAAACACATTTAGTTTTATGGAAAACTCACCCAGCCCTCTTCATCATTCTCAGATGACGAGAGATAGGTGAAAGTTTTCTCCTCAGTCTGCACAGTCCTGTGAATGGGTCACTGGGAAGCTGGTGAGGGGTTCTCAGCATGGGCCCAACCCTTGGCATTCTCCTTCTTCTGTTCCCTTCTACTCATTCCCCACCCCAAGATTCTGGGTGTTAAGAACCCAAGAAATGGGTGGGAATGAGGCAGGGAAGGGAAGAGGGTATCTAAGAAGAAGGCTTTCTTACAACTCTGGAAGTTTCCTTCTCTGCTAAAATTTTGGGTTGATAGGAGGAACACAGTACATACCCCTTCTTCATCTAGCTGATCTGTGCATTTCAAATTGGTGTCAAGAATGACCTTCATGGTCTGCGTGTACCCGCCAATAGAAGCATGATGCAAAGGAGTCCAGCCATTGTGGTCACTGTGAAAGGGTTAAGAAAGGATGTGTGCGTATGTACATACACTTTACAGATGGAAGGTGGAAGTGATGCCACTTGGCTCAGTAATCTGAAAGGCGGGTCTGATGACCAAAAAATAGAATGCACAATTGAGATCTAGCGACTAAATATTTATTACCCATTTAAAATAAAGGAGCAATTTTCAAGCCTAGTTGTCTTAAATGAGCTACCTGAGATGTGATTCACGCTTATTTTTTATTTAGTGGGTTAAAATATGAAAGTATATCAACACACTACCAAAAACTTGGGGGTAGGGGAATCGAGAGTTAGCACTTCTGTGTCACCTTTTTTTTTTTTCAAAGTTACAGTGTGCTTACACCTGCTATTTTAAATCTTCTTTTATTCTTTCATTAAGCATCATATCAAAAATTTTCGTGGCCAATAGTTACTGCTAAAAGTAATAATACCAATAATAAAAATAGCTTATAGTACATGACTATAAGATACTTAGCTTAGTACCACATATAATTCTAAGAGTTCAGGTCTCAAAAGATTTTTCCTTTCGTGCTCTCAAATATGCTTAGTCAATCCCTTTGGAAAATGTTTCCTTTCTCACAAAAATGCAAGATGTAAATACAATGAAGGTTTTGTCACATGAGAGTTACTTTTTGAAATGAGACATAGAAACAATGTGTGAGGTCCTGTGACACCATTTAATTTCAGGGCTAGTGAGCAGCTATTGTAGGGTACAAGAGACACCTTGCTATTTCAATTACGATGTAATTCAGCAGCAACTCTTTAGCCTGGTCCACTTTGGGTCCACCTTACAGGTCGGCTGCTTGGTGTTTCCTTGGAAGCAGGAATGAACTGAGCAAAGTAGTTGCATCGCTACTTTGCTAATATTAAAACTCATTGCCGTCCAGTTGATTCTGACTCCTAGCGACCCTATAGGACAGAGTAGAACTGCCCCATAGAGTTTCCAAGGAGCACCTGTAGATTTGAACTGCTGACCTTATGGTTAGCAGCTGTACTACTTAACTGCTGGGCCACCAGGGTTTCCAGTATTTAGTATGCTGATAAAAAATGTGGGTTTGGGACATTAACCTAATGAGTTCTTTGCTACAACCTACCTGAATTGAGAACATAATTCTCCTTTATATATTTTTCCAGTTTTTTTTTTCTTTACAAAAGAGGTCATTTAGTTATGTCCCTTTTTTTGTATTACACTTATATAATTTTTTTTGTGCCTTCTCTTGGATTTCCTTTAAGTATAACAAACTTCAACAATTTTTAATGTGTCTCCTATTATAGCTAAAAGGGAGGTTTTTATGGTATCACTCACCAAAAGAACCCGTTGCCATCGAATTGATTCCTACTCCTAGCGACCCTATAGGATAGGGTAGAACTGCCCCATAGAGTTTCCAAGGAGCGCCTGGTAGATTCTAACTGCCAACCTTTTGGTTAGCAGCCGTAGCTCTTAACCACTGCACCACCAGGGTAAGAGGGCGTTTGAACTCGCATGTTTGTGTCTGTATACACACACACATGAATACACATGCACATATGCAAACAGTTTTGTACCTGCATGAAAACACGGCAGTATGAAGTGATATGTGAGGAACTGTATCAAAAGTTCTGAGAACTACCACACACAAAACCTCTTATTCTGTGACCTTGAACAAGGTCTTCAAGTCTCTGAACCTGATGGCTTCATTTGTCAATTGCAAATACTGCTAATTTCCTTTTCAATATATGAGAATTCATATATGTTTTCAGAATGAAGTAAGATAAATTAAGAGTGCTTAGTAAGCTATAAAGTTAGGTATCATAATTAAAAATAAAATAGAAAACATCCTGAAAATTCCTAATTAATAAAAAAAAGAATATATAAATATTGCACTTATATATGCTCACCTGAGGAGTAATGCCCCCTTTTTCAGGAGAAGTTGAACAACTTTATCATGCCCGTTTTTTGCTGCCAAGTGGAGAGGTGTCATTCCATGAAGGTCACCTTCATTCAAAAGCCTCATATCGGGGATGTCTTGCAGGAGCCTCTGGCAGGTATTGATACGCCCATAACTTGAGAAAAGATTAAGTTACATCTTTTCAAAGCAAACGTGAAACAGAAATAAGGCATGCTCGTAGAGTGCGCAGACTGACCCTTACCTGGCTGCAAAATGCAGCGGTGATTTCTTATCTTTGCTTTTGGAATGAATGGACACGTTGAAGTGAAGCAGGTTATTTACAGAGACAGGAACGCCCTGTCTACACGCATAATGTAGAGGAGTACAACCATTGTTGTCTTCATCCATGACCAGCTCTTTAATATGTTGCATCTGTGGGAAAAATTCATATTCTACATAAAATCAAAAAAACCAAACCCTTTGCTGTCAGGTCGATTCCGACTCATAACAGAACTGCTCCATAGGGTTTCCAGAGAGCGGCTGGTGGATTCGAACTGCCGACCTTTTTTGTTAGCAGCTGTAGCTCTTAACCACTGTGCCCCTAGGGCACATAAAGCTATGTTATTATGCTAATGAACCATTTTTCAAACTACACTGTGGGATAGTATAGAATTTTCCAACAGAGGGGAAAATGTAAATAGACTGAAGGGTACTAGAGTAAAGTAAGTATGGTTGATGTTACAGACTGTTTCCCTATAATGTACATTATCATATGAAAGGCGCTGAAAAGTCTTGCAAGTTGGAAATACACTTTAATGTTTTTAACCCAGCTGTGAACCCTTACACAAGCATTTTCAAAATGTATTTCACCATGGACCCCTTGCTCATCCTCTCCTCTTTTTTTCCCCAAATAACTCTTATCAGTTAACACGAACGTGTTCTGTTAGAAAAAAGAGACGGGATGTTAAAATTAACAGTTTACCAGTTACCCTCAAGCTGATTCAACTCATGGCAACCCCATGTGTGTCAGAGTAGAACTGTGCCCCATGAGATGCTAAAATTAGATTTGCTGTATCTTTTAAATGTATATTAAGGAAAAAACGAATGAGAAAGTGAGTAGCTTAACCCAATCAATAAATGAACATATGTATTGTTTTTTCTTAATTGATGATAAAATATTACTAATTCACTCATGTAGTTGATTAACTATTTCACTGACATGCAATTTATAATGGTTAAACAATGAAATAAAACTGACTAAGTATGTATCCTTATTATAGATGAGGATATATGGAAATTTTCCATTATTTAGAAATACCAATCTCTAATTAATTAATCTAATTAATTAGTTATTCTTATTAGCACTGTGTTATAAATAAATATTCAAATATAGCATCTTTATTTTAAACCACTGTTTTAAATTCCAGAGTCAGCCTTCATATTAATAAAAATTATAATAAGCAAAATCACTTTACTGTGTTGAACCTAGCTCAGTTTATGGGAATTCACAGACACATATAAATTACCTGCATAAACTCAGGTCGTAAATTTTTTAATCCATAACGTTGTTGTACAGTCAAATGCAAAAAATTACGTCCGAGATGATCTTTTATGTCTACTTGGGCACCTAAAAAAGCACAGTATAAATATAGCTTTTACTCATTTATTTAAAGCATAACTTATGGTGGATTTTCGATTTGAGAAAAGAAAAGATTTCTGACTTGATACTTTGCCAATCTTTAACTTACAGGAAATACTATTTAGATGAGAAAACTAAACATATTGGCTTTATGTAATAGTGTGTGGTGGGGGGGAGAATATGTGATATGTTACATTAATATGTGAGGTATAATCATATAAATATGAGAGATTGGAGATTGGGAAAGAAGGGGGAGGAGAGAAAGATACCTCTCCTCTGGGTTCTCATGGCACCAGGTAAGTACTTATAACGAGGATAGGTACAGTACCTACACCACACAGAATTGATTCATTGAAAGAATATTGATAAAGTGTTCATCAAAATGCCTGAGAAATAATAATTGGTTTATAAATATTATCAATTATTTTTCCAAAACTATCATTTTATGTAACACTCCCTTACTGGAAAAAAAAAAATTACCCTAGACATGGGAAGACATAGGAAGTGTTCTGTTTATCTTTGTATTCACAGTACCTGGCCCAGTGCCTGGCATGCAATAGGTGGTTAATAAATGTTTATTTAACCAAATTTAATAGTGATTCTAAAGTCCTGGCTGTGTTCTTCTTGGTACCTTTAGAAAGTAGCAAATTCACAATATTCCAAGATGCAGAAGCAGTTGCTAATAGAAGTGGAGAACGTCCTTCGGAATCAATGCTATTAATATCTGCTCCCTAAAAACAAGTCATTCAACAAAGAGCATGTGAACAAATAAATCAGCTTACACTGCAATCTGTAAATAACAGTAATTCATTGGGATGGAGTGAATATAGCTGGCATTGAAGCTTATGATAAACTATAGAATTTCTGGAAATTTCCCTGTAATTCGTATACTGTAACACCAGAAATCAAGGCATTCTCTTACAATTTCAACAATAAAAAATATTCTTCCATGTTAATCTTTTGACTGACAACTGGCAATAGCTTTCTGTCACTATTTTAACCATAAAAATAAAACTCTTTGATCTATAGCATTAGTTTAATTCTCACAGTAAGAAATGATTTTTAAATATCCAGATTTTAAAGATCTTCCAAAAATATTCATATGTGATAAAAAAATTCAAAACAAATCATTCACTTTTTAAAAAATCTACTTCATCTATTTGAATTCAAGTCCTAAAATAACTTTTTAATTTAAATATTTACTTGAGAAAATTTGGATTTAAAATCACATGACAGATTTTTTGAAATGAATAAGTCAATATTTACCATTATGTGTTATGGTTATAATATTTGATATGGCAAAAAAAAAGGAGCTTTTTAAAATTTCATGGTAAGAATTATATATTTTGGAAGGAGTAATAAAAATAGTTTAAACTATGATTGTGAATATTTGTCTGTCCTTTTTGGGGCCCATTAAATGTATATGAATATAGCAGCAGTAACGATTTGGAAGCACAATGGTACAGTTTTCTTGTCAATTAAAGAGATCACTTCATTTGCATGCAACCATGCATGTCATAAAACTATGGTGTATACTGAGTCTCTTCCCAGGACTCTTCTATGTAAATATCACAATTTCTGTAGTTGCTATTGACAACAAACGCATGTTAAATACTACAAATGGGACTACATTTATTGCTGAGATTATGGTGCTTAAATAAATCAATCATATATTCATCCATATAAAGACTTTATGACAATTTAATTAAAAACTGACTGATTCCACTTCTTAGAGTGAAAAAAAATCTCATGCTTTCACTTGTAGCAGACCTTGGAAGATATTTTTAGCCCCCCAGTTTTTCATGTTCGAAAGACGGCACTGAGGCAGCTGGTGGACACTTACAATGGAGGGCGAAGGTGACGTGCTCCACCTGTCCTGCCTCCACCTCAGAGCCAGCTGGGCTGAGTCAAGTAGCCCAAGCCTAACACTCTCCTAGGACAGGTTCACAGGTGATCAGAATAGTTTTCCTTGCAATGTAACCACAAACTTCCGTCGTTAAAAACATCAGTATGGGCATGTATTAACTATATGTTCTAGCTTCTGTAATATGATGTTTCAACATCCACACCAAGGAACCCTTCTCCACCCATATCTGCTATACCTAGATTACAAATTCCCTCAGTTTCCCATTTGGTAAACATCCCAAGCCCCAAGGCACAAGTTTCAATTATAGCTGACTGATAAAATCCCTGTGTGCTCTGACTTCTCCCAATCACATTTCCAGAAAACCACAGTAAAGGTGCTTGCCCACAATTCTGCTCCATCTCTGCCTTGTAACTGCCCCTGTGTTTTCCCCCTGTGGCCCTGCCTAGGTGTGCTGTGAACACCAGAGACTATGAATATAATAATTTTTTTATTGTTTCCGGCCTCCCTCTCTTGATTAATGTTAGACTATACCATACCTCAAACATAACTATTATATCAAGTTAAAACAGGGTATCAAAAAGCACACTTTGAACACAAGAACAAAGGGCAACAACAGTAATCACTATAGCGTAGATAATCCCGCAACAACAGTATTAACAAACAATACTTTACAAATGGATACATAGGTTGATAGGTATGCCAAGAGGTGTGGGAGAGTGTAAGGGAACACACCCATCTGCAGAAATAGGTTTGGTGGATATTTATACATACATAACTGTAGGTGCTGCTTATATATCAGTATAGACGATTGAGCACACAGGGCCACAGTCAGGGCAACTTACTAGACATAACCAATTGCCTCATGGGACAAAGTTCCTAGACTTGAAAGTGAAGGACCATACACTTGGGGGACATTTACATCAATTGGCACAACATAGCTCATAAAAACAAAGTTCTACATCCTACTTTGGTGACTAGCATCTGGGGTCTTAAAAGCTTGCAAGCAGCCATCTAAGATACAACTACTGGTCTCTTACCATCCGGAGCAAAGGAGAGTGAAGAAAACCAAAGACTCGAGAGAGCAATTAGTCCAAAGGACTAATGGACCAAATGAACCACAGCCTACACAACTCTGAGACCAGAAGAACTAGATGGTGCCCAGCTACCACCACTGACCACTTTGACTGAGATCACAACAGAAGATCCTGGACAGAGCAGGAGAAAAATTGTAGAACAAAAAATCAAATTCACAAAAAAGACCAGACTTACTGGTCTGACAGAGGCTACGGGAACCCCCAAGATTATGGCCCTAAAACACCCTTCTGAACTGAAGCTGAAGCCATTCCCAGAGATCACCTTTCAGTCAAACCATAGACAGGCCCATAAAATAAACAACAACACCTGATATCTCAAAGGCAATCAATTATACATGATAAAATGGCAACATTTGCCAAAAGCAAAGATGAGAAAGCAGGAAGGGAGAGAAAATCAGGATGAAAGGAAATAGGGAACCTAGAATGGAAATGAGGAGTGTGCTGACACATTGTGGGGAATGAAATCAATGTCATGGAACACTTTATGTACAAACTATCAACTGGAAAACTAATTTGCTTTGTAAACTTTCACCTAATGCACAATAAAACATTTTTTTTAAAAAAAGCACACTTCAGTACTTTAAGCTTCATGGTAACAAAGGTTGGCTTATTACATATTAACATACTGTATACTCTATTTGCAAATGTGTCGATCATCCTTTTGTGAACTTTCTTTGCTGAGAAACAGGAAATTAAATTTTGGTTTATTTTTGAAAGCCCATTTTATGTAATTATATTATTTTTCAACTGTAAATAGTAATAAGGAAAATAAACCCGTCAATTGAATATTTACCATTGAAATTAAATAGTCTGCAAGTTCATAGTGATCAAACAATGAGACCCTGTAAAAAAAGAGAATTACAAACATAAGGTGCTGTTGATATAAAGGTATAAAATAAAGCTACTATATTCAGAAAGTAAACTGCACTTGTTATTTAATAACATGATAAAATATTAGAGAATTAGTAATCTTTCAAAGCCTATGATTGATTCTGATTAGGGTAATATTTCCAATGTAATAGTAATAGAAAAAAGTCAAATCTATTACAATATTTTCTTCCTTATCTTTTAGTAAACTTACTTTCTCCCTGTAAAATCTGCATGACAATCGTTTTGAAGTAAGTAGAAATTTCTATCCCAAAGGCATTACAATACAACAGAAGACAAAAGAAATGACCCAGTTACCACGGTGATCATGGGGAATAACATTAGCTGCAGGCAACCTGCCCTGAGATTCATTGCAGGGCTCAAAATGCCCACAATGTAAGTGCTTCTCTTTGTCAGGGCAGCGATGATGTTCTAAGTATTTGTGAAGGGGGCGAGACAGAAGGGTGTTAATAAATTATAGAGTGAACTAAAGTCATTTTGGTATCACTTCACATCAAGTCATAATGATAATATTAATTAACCAAATAAAAATTTTCAGTCTATATTAAAGTACCACCATAATACATGTTAATACTAATGATTTGAAAACTGTGTTTCCTATTGCAAGTCTTACTTCTTTGTTCCTATTCATGGTTATATATAAATTTCATAATCAGCTGGCCAAATTTCACCAAAAATTCACAAGAGGTTGCATTATGTTTAAATTATATTAAATATAATATACTAAATAATTTTAGGAAGTAAATGCATAATGATATTAAGGCTCCATTCCTTTTAAAATAATAATTTTGTTATTGTATCTTCCTAATCTAGAACCTTGTTACTTATACGCGTCTGGACCAGCAGCATCAGCGTCACCTGGGAGCTCATTGGTAATGCAAAGTTTTAGTAGACCTGGACGCCTAGATTCTGAGAGGTTTATTGACTTGCCAAGGGTTATATAGCCAGAAGGACGAGGGTAATTGCTGGAACCCCAGTCTCCTTACAACAAAGCTCACTGTTTTAGCCAGGGCAATGTAGTGAGGTCTTTACACTATAGTAACAAAAGGAATTCTAGCCTAAAGAGAAAACTTTGCTTTGTAGCTCAAGATAAACTCCAAAATTAACTGGCTATTTAAAGAGCAAAGGAGCCCTGGGGGCGCAGTGGTTAAGTGCTTGGCTGCTAACCTAAAGGTCAGTGGTTTGAACCCATTGGCCACTCTGCGGGAGAAAGATGTGGCAGTCTGCTTCCAGAAAGATGATAGCCTTGGAAACCCTATAGGGCAGTTCTGCTGTGTCTCTAGGGTCACTATAAGTTTGAATCGACTCTATGGCAATGGGTTTTATTCAAAGGGCATTCCAGAATCCTAGGTCAGTATCAGATTCATCAGACTTAGAAAAACTGGCCCAGGAAACCTTCAGATAACCCAAGTTGAGAATGTCCAGTTAGGGTATTACCAGGCTAAGGATACTTATTCTCCTAGAATAATTCCATTTTATGCATATTTGTGCATTAAAGCTGTGTTCTAAAAGGACAAATTATTCTAAGTATACCCTGACAACTGGGTTTCCAAACTGGCTGAACATTGGAGTCACATAAGGAATTTAAAAATGAAACATGGAATGTGGGCCCTCCTAGAGGTTCTGATTTAATCTGGGGTAAGAACTGGCATTGGCATTTTTGAAGCACACCCAAGTGATTCTAATGTGCAGCAGTTTGAGAATCTCTAGTGTAGAGATTAGTCTCTCCATTGTGTTTTAGTTGTATTTCAATGTTCAATGGCCCCCTTTTTTTTGATTCCTAGCATTTCTAACTTGATCTTTTTTATATCACCAATCCTTGATTCATACATGCCAACTTGTTTTTTGTAACTTTCTGTTGTTTTAATGTATGTATTTTTACATGAATGTTTATTCCTTCCTTTAAATTTTTGAGGGTCTTCAGTGTCTTTATTTTCAAATTATTTTCAAGATTTCCCCATGATTTCTATTTCCTTAGAAGTACGTTAGCCTTTTGTTGACTTTGCTGTCTTTTCTTAGTTTCCTTTATGCTATGGGATTTTAGTTTGCAAACTCATTCTAAGTGGGAGTTCCTTGGAGTTCCTTTCCAGTCATGTTTATCTCATTGTATCTGGTGGTTTTGCTAATGTGTACATCCACCTCCTCCTCCTCCTAAGTTTAGAACCACATCCTTATATGGGTAGCTGGAGGCTTTTTCCCTGAAGGATATTGTAGATTTTCTGGTTCACTTATTTATTGGGACTATCTTAGCTCTTTTCTGTGATTCTAGGCTTCCAGCATGGTCACAGGGTTTTTTTTTTTTTTTTTTTTTTTTGGGGGGGAGGGTGGTGAGTAGGCTGTTTCACACACACACACACACACACACACACACACACACACACACACAGGGAGCATTTAGTCCTTGTCTTCCCAAAGGATTGAACTTTCAGTCTATACTACCTGTTTCCTGTCCTAACATCTAGTAAACTCACATCTTCAAATGCTTTCTGCTATACGTCACAGAAATATTTATCTTGTTTTGGGCTTGGCTATAGTTTTCTAATGTTTTGAAAATATTTTGTCTGTATTTATGGGAGTGGGTGGTAGGGAAATAGGGTGAAATGAGTGGAACATTCATATGTATCTGCTCCCTTATCTTCACTAAAAATGAGGATAAGACATACATGAGGAATTCGAACAGATTAGAAACGGCTTGGAAAAACTTGTATGTTGACCTCCTTAGCATCTTGAGCCTATATTCACTGGCCTGAGAATTGGTTCAGAATATGCCACTGGAGATTTTATTTTGTGAAAATCTATTTAAACTTTATTGAATCTTAGGACAGAAGATGTCTACAAACATTTTCGGGCTCTCAGGTTTCTTGGAAGGCTACTTTTCCCACAGAAAGTATTTTCTGCCCTCTAGTGGCCGCTTGTGTAACGGTGAAAAATGAAAGAATCATTCTTTGGTGAAAATTCAGTAAGGTAGAAGGCTTATGTATGCGGCAGTGCATCCATGAAGTGTAATTGGGTTAAACTTTTGTCTCTTTTGGTTTTATACAGCTAGATAATCCTTGTAAGCATACTTATGGCTTCCTCTGTGATAGTTAGGGAGACCTGGTGAGTTTGATTTTGTGTATGTGTGTATGTGTCCTATTTGGAAAACCAGAGGTTTTCAATGTAATAAAATGGAAAGCACCACCCTCCAAAAATCCTTGGGACAGATGGAGCCTATTAAACAGGGCACAAAACAACTGCAAACATTTTGTGGAAAAATGTCGGCCCACATGGTATTTCTCAAAATCCATATTTAAACCAAACCAAACTCATTGCCATCAAGTCGATTCTGACTCAGCGACCCTATAGGACAGAGTAGTACTGCCCCATAGAGTTTCCAAGGAGCGCCTGCTGGATTCAAACTGCCAACTTTTGGTTAGCAGCCATAGCACTTAACCACTATGCCACCAGGGTTTCCATATTACCAACCAAAAATTTGAACACACTCAATTAGTTAGCAATTTAGTTTCCTTTACTGAAAACACATAGTATCAAAAAAAAAAAAAAATTTAAACGAGAAAGTAATATGGTCTTGAAAGGGTTTTAACATTGTATTCTGATTCCAGAGGAACACAGAGATTCCAGTCGAACCATAGGATTTTTGTTATTTTTGTTCTTTTCTTTTGAACGCTAGAATCTTTATTAGTGTAAGTGTTAACTTATACTTGCAGCGTATAGTTTAATAGGTAAAGACTAAAAGTCTGTACGTTGAAAGCTAGGTAGGAAACTTGCCTGTGAAGCAGCGTCTCTTGATTTCCGTCCACTGCGTTAACAATATCACTATCACCAGAATAGGAGGATATCATCAGTTTAACAATTTCCGTGGCTCCCTGAGTGGCAGCAAAATGAAGAGCTGTGCACTTCCCTTTCTGTGAACAGTTTTGACACCGGAATCAATGTTTGAAGCTCAATTTAAGGCTATAGCACAATTTCAGCTGTGAGTTTCTTCATAGGTCAACAAAATCGACGAATATTGAATTTAAGACGATGGTGATCAGTTTCATCTATTGCAAGTCATCAATATAAATATTATAGGTGGCAACTGTGCTTCCTTGAAGTCTGTTAGCTCTTAATGTATACTTCTACCATTGTTATCTGGATGACATTCTTCTCCCAGAAGTGTAAACACTATCCTTACTGTAAGTACCCAGTGTATGAAGTGATTTCAGATCCCTGGTCATTGACACCAGCTCTTCATTTCTATCTTGAAGGAATTTAGTGACAATCCCTCTCCTCCTAATCTCCTCATCCTCCAAAAATGACTGTACTTTGTAGTAGTTGGGAAGGGAGCATGTTATCACCCAAAAGCCCTAAGGGATTGGACACCAGGCCAGATGAAGGGAAAAGGGAAACCAGAACTCTATACTTTCAGTCAGAGATGACTGGCATGAGGTGAGGAGCCTGGCTCTGCCTTTACCTTCACATACAGATCCTTATAAATTAGTTAAGCTGTGCTTAATTTAAAATATGATAACTCTTCAGAATAGAACTATAAACACAAAATGTACATAGTAGGCTTTAATGTACCTGGATGACAACCTTAATATATTGTTATCTTTTGAATGTTAGCCTTAACTTATTTCATGGCAGTTAAATTAGACTTATTTCACGGCAGTTAAACTGGATATATACTTTATTGCATCTGCATTTGTGGCTGCAATTGTTTTTGGTGGCTCTCAAAATTCTTTACATAGGTTGAAATTTGGGATATTTTCTTGTTTTGCTTCTCAGTATCTATTTTCTTCCTGCTGTATTTATCTTCAGGAGCCCTGCTGGTGCAGTGGTTAAAGCACTGGGCTGCTAACTAAAAGTTTGGCAGTTCGCACCCACCAACCACTTCTTGGGAGAAAATGTGGCAATCTGCTTCCATAAAGTTAATAGCCTTGGACACTCTACAGGGAAGTTCTCCTCTGTCCTGTAGGGGTCACTATGAGTCATAATTGACTTGATGGCAAGAGATTTGGGTTTTCTTGGTATGCATTTTCAATCTAAATGAATTGTAAAAGTGTTACAAAGCATTTTGGAAAATAACTTATATGAAAATTCTAAAATAAAAGTGTTATGTAAAATAGGAACAATTACCTCCCGCAGATCTATCTTTGCACCATTGTCCAGGCACATTTTGATCATTTCCAAGTCGCCACTTTGAACCGCCATGTGGAGAGGGCTGTGTTTCCCCTTATCGACAAAATTAATATGGCACTGTCTGCTGTGTCCATGTTCTTCACCTTTAGAAGAAAATAAGTTTCAGGGTAACTTAGATGTTTAAAATCAATAATAGGAATTTTAAAAAGAAAATATTTAGGCATACATAAAATCCCATGTATAAATTCTATTAAATATTTGTCAAATTAATAGCATCCTTCCCCCCTGCCACCACCCCACAAGAATAGGCTTCTTTAAAGTATATAATGTGGGAAAGCCTCTACTTACCAAACTTTAATACTATTTCCATGCATTTTTTGGCGCCTGAAAACACAGCCTGGTGAATAGGGAAACATCCCCATTTATTTGGTATGCATGGCTTAGCTCCTTTACTAAACTGGAAGGTGGGGGAAAAAAAAAAAGAACCAAAAAAAGTCAACCAGGTTGAATGTGTTCAACCCCAAACCACAAGGATGGACAAGAACTCATCTGCCACTCCCAGACCATATTCTGAGCCTTTAATACTAGTATGTTGTTGAACTTTGGAATTTATTGACCAATACCTGGAAAAATTTCATATGATATGAAATCTAGGTAAGAAAGTAATTTTGACACCAGGTCAAGATTCTGATATAGAGACACTTTCTATTTTCTATCTGTCCTTTCCAAATGAAGTATGATATAGACACAAAATATCAACAGGATACCCAGAAAACTAAAGTTAACACATTTTCAAGGGGGTTAATGAGAACATTTTAAACATTATCATGACTCCTCCTATACACATTTTCAATTCTTCATGCAAATAATGTAATATTTTCCAGGCCCTCTGTTCTTCATTTATGTAAAATTAATAAATGATTAGACCAGCACTCTTGTTAAACTCTGAAGTTACGTATTTTCATTCATGAAAAAACCTTTACTAACAGGAGGTTAGAACAACTGAATATATTATTTTTCTATCTGAGCCAATAATTTTCAAGTACCATTTTCTATAGATTACTGAACTGCAGTTTTGTTTTAAATACCTTTTATTGTCACAAAAAGAAAAGATGTTGAAAGGGCAGAAAAGTGTGAAAAAGAAAATCCACCTTTGATCTCACTTACCAGAGATAGCGTCAGTTTACATTTTAGAGGAATTTTTTTTTATTGTTGTACTTTAAGTGAAAGTTTACAATTCCAGCTAGTCTCTCATACAAAAATTTATTCATACATTGTTATGTGACCCTAATTGCTCCCCCTATACTGTGACAGCACACCCCTCTTTTCCACCCCTGATTTCCCATGTCCATTCAACCAGCTCCTGACCCTCTCTGCTTTCTCATCTCACCTCCAGACAGAAGCTGCACATTTAGTCTCATGTATCTACATGAGTTAAGAAGTTCACTCTATGAGTATTGTTTTATATCCCATAGTCCGGTCTAATCTTTCTCTGAAGAGTTGGCCTTGGGAATTGTTTTAGTTCTGGGTTGACAGAGAGTCTGGGGGACATGCTCTCTGGGGTTTCTCCAGTCTCAGTCAGACCATTAAGTCTAGTCTTTTTACTAGAATTTAAGTTCTGCACCCCACTTTTCTCCTGCTCCATCAGGGACTCTCGGTTGTGTTTCCTGTCAGGGCGGTCATTGATGGTAGCTGGGCGACATCTAGTTCTTCTGGTCTCAGGATTATGCAGTCTCTGGTTTATGTGGCCCTTTCTGTCTCTTGGGCTAATACTTCCCTTGTGTCTTTGGTGTTCTTCATTCTCCTTTACTCCAGTTGGGCTGGGACCAATTATTGCATCTTAGGTGGCCGCTCACTAGCTTTTAAGACCCCAGATGCCATTCACCAAAGTAGGATGCAGAACATTTTCTTAATAGACTTTGTTATGCCAATTGGCCTAGATGACCCCTGAAAGCATGGTCCCCAGACCCCTGCCCCTGCTACTCTGTTCCTCGAAGTGTTTGGTTGTATTCAGGAAACTTCTTAGCTTTGGTTTAGTCCAGATGTGCTGACTTCCCCTGTAGTGTGTACCGTCTTTCCCTTCACCTAAGATAATTCTTGTCTACTATCTAGTTAGTGAATAACACTATCCCTCCTCCGCCACCCTCGTAACCATCAAAGAATGTTTTCTTCTGTGTTTAAACCTTTTCTTGAGTTCTTATAATAGTGGTCTTATACAATATTTGTTCTTGTGTGATTGACTAAATTCATTCAGCATAATGCCCTCCAGATTCCTCCATGTTATAAGATGTTTCATGGATTCGTCGTTGTTCTTTACTGTTGCATAGTATTCCATTGTGTGAATATACCATAATTTGTTTATCCATTCGTCTGTTGATGGACACCTAGGTTGTTTCCATCTTTTTGCTATCGTGAACAGTACTGCAGTGAACATGGGTGTGCATATATTTATTCGTGTGCTGGTTCTTACTTCTCTAGGATATATTCCAAGGAGTGGGGTAGCTGGATCATATGGTACTTCTATTTCTAGCTTTTTAAGGAAGTGCCAAATCAATTTCCAAAGTGGTTGTACCATTTTACATTCCCACCAACAGTGTATAAGTGTTCCAGTCTCTCCATAACCTCTCCAACATTTATTATTTTGTGTTTTTTGGATTAATATAGCTTTGTTGGGGTGAGATGGTATCTCATTGTAGTTCTGATTTGCATTTTTCTAATGGCTAATGATCGTGAGAATTTCTTCATGTGTCTGTTAGCTGCCTGAATGTCTTCTTTTGTGAAGTGTCTGTTCATATCCTTTCCCCATTTTTTAATTGGGTTATTTGTCTTTTTGTTGTTGAGGTTTTGCAGTATCTTGTAGATTTTAGAGATTAAACGCTGATTGGATTTGTCGTAGCCAAAAATTTTCTCCCAGTCTGTAGGTTGTCTTTTTACTCTTTTGGTGAAGTCTTTTGATGAGCATAAGTGTTTAATTTTTAGGAGCCCCCAGTTATCTAGTTTCTCTTCTGGTGTTTATGCATTGTTACCTATGGTTCATATTGTGTTTATGCCATGTAAGGGCTCCTAGTGTTGTCCCTGTTTTTTCTTCCATGATCTTTATTGTTTCTCATTTTATATTTAAGTCTTTGATCCATTTGTAGTTTTTGTGCATGCTGTGAGGTATGGGACTTGTTTCAGTTTTTTGCAGATGGATATCCAGTTATGCTAGCACCATTTGTTAGAGACTGTCTTTTCCCCAGTAACGGACTTTGGGCCTTTGTCAAATATTGGCTGCTCACAGGTCGATGAATTTATGTCTAGATTCTCAATTCTGTTCCATTTGTCTATGTATCTGTTGTTGTACCAGTACCAGGCTGTTTTGTCTACTGTGGCAGCATAATAGTTTCTAAAATCAGGTAGTGTGAGGCCTCCCACTTTGTTCTTCTCCTTGAGTAATGCTTTACTTATCTGGGGCCTCTTCCCTTTCCATATGAAGTTGGTGATTTGTTTCTCCATCTCATTAAAAAATGCCGTTGGAATTTGGATTGGGATTCCATTGTATCTGTAGATCATTTGGGGTAGAAATGACATTTTCACAATGTTGAGTCTTCCTATCCATGAGCAAGGTATGTTTTTCCACTTATGCAGGTCTCTTTCGGTTTCTTGCAGTAGTATATTGTAGTTTTCATTGTATAGGTATTTCACGTCTTTGGTTAGATTTATTCCTAAGTATTTTATCTCTTTAGGGGCTATTGTAAATGGTATTTGTCATGGATTGAATTGTGTCCCCCCCAAATGTCTGTCAGCTTGACTGGGCATGATTCCCAGTATTGTATGATTGTGTAATCTTATGTGATTTCCTTGTGTATTGTAAACTCTATCACTATGATGAGGTTATACTGATGAGGTTTACAAGACTAGCTAGTGTCTTAATGCAATCTCTTTTGAGATATAAAAGAGAGAAGTGAGCAGAGACACATGGGAACCTCACACCACCAAGAAAGCAGTGCCGGGAGCAGAGCGCATCCTTTGGATCTGAGGTTCCTGTGCAGAGAAGCTCCCAGAACAAAAGAAGATTGATGACACAGACCTTCCTCCAGAGCCAATGGAGAAAGCATTCCCCTGGAGCTGATACCCTGAATTTGGACTTGTAGCCACTGGACTATGAGAGAATAAATTTCTCTTTGTTAAAACCATCCACTTGTGGTATTTCTGTTAGAGCAGCACTAGATGACTAAGACAGTATTGATTTGGTGATTTCCTCTTCAAAGTTCTCTTTGTTGGTGTAAAGAAATCCAACTTATTTTTGTATATTTACCTTGTATCCTGATACTTTGCTGAAATCTTCTATTAGTTCCAGTAGTTTTCT